TCTGCCCATATGCATCTGCTGCAGGAGCCCCTAGGAGCCCCCAGAAGGCAGCTCCTCCCTGCCAAGCTGCTGCAGCAGCCCAAGCCCGGCAAAGCCAGTGAGTGGACTCGGGGCGGGGGCTGCCGGGGTGGGGAGGGCTCCCGGGGGGTGGGGTGGGGGGAACCTGGTCTGGGGAGCAGCCCCTGGGCACGGCTGGCCCCTGGAGTCTATAAAGGTTCGTTGGGATTTGCCCCCCAATGAACCGATGTTATGGGCGGGGGTGGGTGGGGGCGCAAGGTGGAAGTTTTGCCTAGGGTGCAAAATATCCTTGCACTGGCCCTGCAGGTGTGTGCCTGAATCAAGATCCCCACCAGAAACTCTGCTGTCTCCTCCAATCTCTGTAGATCCACATCTCAGCCCTGAGAGCCCATTTCCTTGGACCCTGTGGTAGAACTACTGGAATCCAGTGGTTTCATGATCATCCTGACAGTGGTAGATCGCTTTTCTAATATGGCTCACTTCATTCCCTCAATGGGTTTATTGTCCACAGGGGAAACCACCTGGCTCTGGATAAACAACCTAGTCAGTCTTCATGGACTTCCGGCTCATATCACTTCTGACTGAGGTCACAGCTTACTGCTCTGGCATGAGTCCTACATTTATTAGGAGTCTACATCAATGTACCCTCTAATTTTTCCCATCCATGTCTGGAATGAATTTTGTAATGTGCACCAATATGAAGGTGATGTGTGGCAGACTGTGTGCCTTGTGATTCCTGCGCCTTCAGCTTGATCTATTGGCATCCTGACTCAGCTTAACTCCTGGCATCTGACTTGTAGTTCCTGATCTCCAGTTTGGCTGCTGCCGCTGACCCTCCGGTATCCTGACCCAGGAGACTCATGGCTGCAGACTCTGGTTCCAACTACTAGGTCTGGCTGGCCATGATAGGCATTAAGGATCAGATTCAAAACCACTGAAGTCAATGCATTTTGGATCAGGCCCTAATATGTACCGGAATAGTGTTTTAGAAGCAGTCCACCTGCTCATATGAGACAGAAAGTCCAATAATCAGTTACTTAATCATATTTTTTTCTAGTAAACTTAAGGAGCCAAAATCATCTTCTGTGTAATTCTGGCTAATAAAACTGGAGTTACATGAGGAGTTAATCTGGCCCCAAAAAGCATATATACTGACACCTTTTTTTAAAGGTAAGTATGTCATTACATGCCTCTCCCATATCAACTAGACCAATTTTATTTGCTTTCATAATTATACAGGATATTAGAAGTACTGCAGCATGGTCCTGTTTAATAGGTTAGTTTTATGTGTGCACTTCAAGAGAGTGAATCAATGCCAGTTACCAATTTGGTGGAAAGGAGTTGGAAAAGGGCAGCAATTATGAAATTATCTAGAAAACGTGTACAAGTTAAATCCAATACTGTGGTTCCCTAAGTGACTCTGAACTCTTTAATAATTTATGTATGGAAGAACAGAGGCTTTAGTGGTCCTAAAAGCCTGAACATGATATCAGTGTTAAATATAAAGGCAACAAGGTGTCAAAATATGGAAATATGTTAAGTTAAATAATACCATCTGTGATGATCTCACATACTGTAATTTGATTAATGGCCTGAACCTGCACAGGGTCACTTACTCCCATATGGAGTCACACTGAAGTCAATGGAATCCCTTTGTAGGAATGGGACCTAATTTATGTTTTCACAAAAGAAGCATAATGGATCCAAAAATACAACTTTGCTCATAAGATGGTTTTCAAACTGTTGAATACCAAGTCTAAAGCAGTTCAACAGTTTAAAGGAAGTGGGCCAGATCCTCAGTTGGTGTAAACTGGAATAGTTCCAATGGCTTCAGTAGGCAGCTCAATCTATAACAATAGTAATATTTAATACAAAATCTCTGTTAGTTCTATTGGTGTACAGTGCCTAGAGTGTTAGGTGCTTCAAAACCTGAATTAAATAGAATAAATCCAATTATATTTCAAAATAACACTTTTTCTTAAACACTGGGCCAGAACCTCAGCTGATGTAAAATGGAGTAGCTGCACTCGCTTAAATTGTATTTAATTATTGTAGTTATTTCAATTTACGTGGCACTTATCTAATGCTCTAGGTGTTGTAAACCAATATGCAATACAATAATTAACATGCTCAGAGACAGAACTACCCAGAGCTTCTGCAAAAAAAAAAAAAAAAAACAAGCCACCGAATCATCAGGACTGATCAATGCCTCCTTTGAACGTTCCTTTTTTTATTATTCAGCTAATAACAATTTAACGGGACACTTTAAGCTTTATAAAGTAAAATTGTTTAATTTATTATGGGCTGTTTGTTTTATACGATTTATCATCCATGGATTTTCTAGCATAATCTTTACGACTACTTACTTATCAGTTGATTTGTTGCATTAGTCCTGATGGGATTTCTGCCCAAATATAACATTGCTGCCAAGCATGACACGTACGACTGATAGCAGCAGCCGCAGAACAAGCTCACGCTCTCGTGTGTTTCTGTGAACTCAATGGTAGAAAATGATGATGATCAGATGGTAGTTTTCAGAAATCAGAACAAGGCCAAAATTCAGAAGAGATGAGAAATCTATAGAGAAAATGACAATGAGAATATTTGTATTAAAAAAATATTTCAAATAAATTTTCGACATTTTGCACTGAACAAAGAAAAAGAGACAACTGGATGGTTTGGGAGCCAATGCTGCAGTATATGGAAATGAGATCGGTCAGATTGTGCCGATTCAGGAATGAATTTGGCCTCTGGTTACTAAAGAGGTTAAGAAAACGAATCAATTATGTTTTCTTTTGTTAGAATTAGTTAGCTAACTATAATAGTTAATAAGATGATGGGATTGATCCTTATACAGCAGCCTTCCTCTCATAAGTGCTTCCCAAATATTAAAAATGATCTTAATATTCCACTGAAGCAGCTAAGGGTCATTATCCTCATTTTGCAGATGAGGCAACAGAGGGACAGAAAGCTTAAAATCTAAACATTCCAAAATGTCCAGTAATTTGGGGTGTCCTATATACTCTTAGGACCTGATTTTCAGAGGAACTGAGTACTCACAAGTTCAACTACAGTCACTGAGAGCTGCAGGTGCTCAATATCTCTGAAAATCAAACTTTCAGTGTAAAGTTGGGCACCCAAAAAAATCAAGGCACTCAAAATCAATGGACATTCTTGAAAACGTTGGCCATAGTGACTTGCTGTATGTGAACAGACCAAGTGAGTTGCAGAGCTGGGAAGCTCAGGAGCCCAGATTTAACAACCCCCGCCCCCCAGCCAGTAGACAAAACTCCTTTTCTCTTTAAAATATCCCGCTCTCCTCTACTCTGTGTCAATTTAAAAACTGTTGAAACCCTGACCAGTTCCCAAGTAGAACACACTATACCAAATTTAGTGCTAGCAAAATCAGACAAAACTTTTGTCTGGTATGTGACGTCAGCCATAGTCCAAAACTCATAGCCTCAGCACTCCTCCCTCCAATAAACAAGACAGCACAACCTTGGGCCCATCCTCTGTTGGTGTAAATTGTTGGTCTAAATCTGTGCCCCCTAGGTTGCAACTCCCACAACAGAATTGTAAAACTGAGTTGCACATTTCTGAATCATCACGTTTCCATGTAATTATTCAAGATCTGCTTTGGGAAATATTTGTAAACTCCTCCTTTTAGGGAAAAAAATGCCTAAATGCATTGAGTTTGATCAAAACTCCCATTGCTATAGACAACTAATTCTTCCTCTTCATTCCCTGTACAACAAGTGGGATACATGGAGTGGAGAGATTATGTCAAATGGAGACAGAGAACCTCAAAATAATACTGGCGTGATGTCCTGCTACAGGTCCGTCACATCTTACGCTGGAGTTACGTTCCGCAGTCAGCGCGTAAAGCGAAAATCGCGTATAGTCAAAATTACATTGAGTGTAATGGCGGGCGGAATTGCCTGCACTACAGGTACAGTATTAAAATTGTTATTTTTCTCTTTTTTTGTTTTTGTTTTTGTTGACCATACAAAGCTGAAATCACGCATGTTAAATGCACGTAAGATGCGACAGACCTGTACTGTGTTGCAGTGTATGCGTTGCAGCTAATATTTCGTTGTGTTCCAGCTTTGAAAAATCAAATGTTGCTTTAAATCCATCCCCTGATCTCAACCAACTTGTAGGCACCTTATCTATCAACATTTCTCTTTGGGAAACATGAATTTTCATGCTGAAAATAACTTATGCACCAACACTTTGAAAAGTTTTTTTAAATAATGTAGAATAAACCAGTACGTGCAAATTCAAGTTAAGCACCTAAGGGATATGCAAGACAAAGAGCATCCCAAGCCTCAACAAGCAGCTTACAATTATTTTCCAGCAATGCAGCCACACTAATATTTCCAGTTAGTGGAAGAAAAATTCTCTCCCCTTTGCCTCATAGTTTTCACCTTATGCTTTGCCTATTCAGAGGGCCTAATCAAATGAGAACAAAGGATGGGAAAACAAGTAGTTTGGGGACACAGGACTAGACTAAGTAGTTGCTTGCTAACCCAATATTAGATTTATTTAGCATAAAACTCTGGCATCTATACTTCCATCAGTGCATGTGCAAATCTCCTATTAGCACAAATAGCATGGGTTCACTTACGCACTTCTAGATAATAGCCTTGTATGACAGCAGTTGAAATGAAGCCCATCCTACACAAATTATCCTACTTGAAATTATTCTCTTAAACCCTCATGTGTGAAATATTAGCAACACAACTGCCAATATGTGGGATTTGTCTGTTTTAGAATTTTGTTACGAACTCAAAAGTCTTAATTCAGGTGAAGCTGTCCCTGTTTATGGGTTCACAGCATCTTATAAAGCAGTCAGGTGTCATTGTGAAACTGGGAGAACTTCTGAGGCCTTGAGTGAATTTTGTTTTGTGCTCTTGGGATTGTTAAACCTGATAACTCAGAGCATAATTTATGGATGAAATCTCAAATGGATCAATGCTGAAGAAAACATTTGTATAAGCCCCTGCAATCCAAAACTGCTGAGTTTTGCCCAGCTCTGGTTATTTCATAGAATAATAAGATTGGAATGGACCTCGAGAGGTCATTTAGTCCAATCCCCTGCATTTATGGCAGGACTAAGTATTATCTAGATCATGCCTGACAGTTGTTTGTTTAACCTGATCTTAAAAACTTCCAATGATGGAGATTCCACAAGCTCCCTAGGTAATTTATTCCAGTGTTTAACCACCCTGACAGTTAGGAAGTTTTTCCTAATGTCCAACCTAATTGCCCTTGCTGCAATTTAAGCCCATTGCTTGTTGTCCTATCCTCAGAGGTTAAGGAGAACAATTTTTCTCCCTCCTCCTTGTAACAACCTTTTATGTACTTGAAAACTGTTATGTCCCCTCTCAGTCTTCTCTTCTCCAGACTAAACAAACTCCAATTTTTTCAATCTTTTCCCACATAGGTCATGTTTTCTAGACCTTTAATCATTTTTGTTGCTCTCCTCTTGACTTTCTCCAATTTGTCCACATCTTTCCTGAAATGTGGCACCCAGAACTGGACACAATACTCTGGTTGAATCCTAATCAGCATGGAGTAGAGCGGAAGAATGACTTTTCATGTCTTGCTTAGAATACTCCTGCTAATACATCCCAGAATGATGTTTGCATTTTCTGCAATAGTGTAAGTTTTGTAAGTTAGTGGATTGATTAAAAAAACATTAAAGATAACAGAAGTGTCTTCCTTAACTTAAGTGGGCTTTGTTTCAAGCCCTAAGTATCTAACATTTAAAATAATATAAATAATAGTACTTGCAAAGTCCAGAAATGGATACCATTTATAGTCATTGCAATTGTTCAAAGACAGCACTTCACCGGGGCCAAATTATTGCTGTCAAACAACAATGTAGTGCTGGGAGAGAGGTTCCATGGTAATGGGTGTCAAATAAAAACCAAAATAGAATGCAAACAAATTCTGCCCGAGAACTCCCATACAGGAGGTATCCATATTTTTCCTGGGCATAGACCACTAGTGTTGCTGCAGTCCAGAAGGAATTCAGAGGAGGTAGAGCAGAACAGGTCTGGTGACGTGGCTCTTGATGTCTTTTGTACACCAGACAGCAATGGGAGAGCATCACTGATGGGAAAATATGCTGAATTTTTTGTAAGTTGTAGCAAAGGCCTCTACTGAGTACTTCCCCAAGTACAGCTAGAGGCACTGTCTGATCCTGTCCTCCAAAGGCATTATGCCTCCAGGCACATCTGTTTGCCCAGGGCACCTCTTCCCCCAGATCTGTGTGGCAGTGCCTGTTGCATGCAGCCTTAATTTGGCCTTACGAGTTTTTCTTGGATAGCTCAAGGATGACATCAGTTAATTTACCAGGAACATTATTGTTAAATTGGATTCCCCCCCCTTTTTTCCTTTTTATGTCATTAGTTATTGTTTTTCTTTGGTTATCAGCAGGTGATCTATATGTACAGTAACAGCTTTGTAACCAGGGTGTTACACTCAGGTAATGGCTCAAATTGTGTTATGATTAAAAAAAGATGTTTGTGCTTTGGTCATGATTATTTTATCTCTGCTGCAATCTGTTATTCAGTGCACTTCAGACTTTGAATAAAATAAAGGAAAAGTAATCAGCAGTGTATAGACTTATATATATTCTGTACAACCTGTTGATAGAGCCACACCAACATGCAATCCAGACCTAGATACAGAAGATGATAAAAGTTAGGAGACACAGCACAATAATGTACTGTACGTTATAAGGACCCAATTGTTACCCTCAGTCACCTGTGGTAGTACTTTATTTCCCACATAGTCTCATGAAGCCAACGAGACTACTTGTGGCATATGGGACTACACAATGTGAGCAGAATTGTGTCCTAGGTCTGTAGGAAAGTTTTAAGAATCAGTAAAGGATGAAGGCCTGATATCAATGTGGCAGTTCTCAAAGTGGGATGAAGCCAGATGCACCAAAGATGGGACTTCCTTGACCTCTGGGGGAGAAGGTGTTTACTGCATGGGGCTCTCAGAACACTTCTGGATGATCTATCCAGATCATGATACTGGTATTCAGCTCATTTGCACAATGGGCACTCTTTGTGAACTAGAAGTAAAGTGTTCAGATCCTCAGTCACAAAACTGTGTCTGTTTTCAACTCTTTCTGTAACTTTTTGTTTTCTCAGGTGACTAGGGCTCTAAATGGACTTATTCAAGTGTAAGTCTTTATATTGAGAATAAAGCTTTTAGTAGTTAAACATTCATTAACAGAGTTAAACCACAGCTTCAGGTGATAGAGAGTAAGCAGATCTTTGCCAGTGTTCAATGGTGTGTTAGATTCTTTGTGTCAATTATTCATGATGCTGTTGCTGAAGGCTCTAATTTTACATAAGTGAAAGTCACAAGGGAACTGTTATGATGCTCGGCTAAGAAGAGCACAAAAAAGAACATTATATCAGTCTGTACTAAAGATGTAGTTAGCTATTATGTTTTGGTATTTTGGAGTCAGTCTTTTAGAGTGGAAATATAAAATCTTTTTCAGAAACAGAGTTTCTCTGAGAGTGGTAAATGGAAAACTAAAATCTATTTGCTTG